TTATCCCGCCATGCCTTGATGATACTTCTTACTGACGCAGAGAGCGTGCGAAGGTTCGTTGCAGTTTTGCATTCTGGTATTAGGGCCAACATGGCCCGAGAAGTGGAGATGGGGACTCATTATCAGCTAGCAGTGGAGATTGCTCGGAGGATTGAGGGCTACCGTTTGAGTGGTAGAGAGCAGGAGCAGCAGGATAAGAGGGTCCGATTCTCCGAAGAGTTCGGAGGTGCCACGGCTAGGGGCAGAGTTCAGTTTGGGATGGGTCAGCCTAGCAGGCCCCCATATTCAGCACCATCACCTCCTCGAGGTGCTCTAGCGCGCCCCTATTTCAGCGCCATACCAGAGAGTTCTTACCATCCGCCAGCTATTCAGGGTTCCTCCAATGGGTATTCAGGTCCCCAGGGTTCTTCTGGTTCATATTTCAGTGCTATGCTGGAGAGTTCATACCATCCACCAGCTATTCAGAGTTCCTCCAGTGGGTATTCAGGCCATCAGGGTCAAACTTCCGGACAATAGTCTATAGTGCCGAGAGGTTGTTACGAGTGTGGAGATCTGGGTCACATGAAGAGGACCTTCCACAGACTTCGGGGCAAGGCAGTACATTATGGTCCGCAGCCCATGATTGCAGCACCGGTTTCCCAGCCGCCTAGAGGCGGGGGACAGGCCGGCAGGGGCCGTCCTAGAGGTGGAGGCCAGACAGGGAGAGGTCAGCCAGCTACTGCTTAGTCAGGTGGAGGCCAGTTGCTTTAGATTTAAGTTAAGTAAATAATGGGATTGTTTTGGTAAAATAAGTGAGAACTCACTAGTTGATTAAGGTTGGGTTGCCTAACAACGGTATTGGACGTCATCACGACCAACCATGGAATTTGGATCGTGACAAAAGACTTATGCGAGGAATGACTTCTTATATTATAGTAAGTTAAATAGAATCTACATTTGTCGCTTTTACTTTAGTTTTTTAATTTATAACTTTAATTTTTTATTATTATACTATATATGTAATTTTTAAAATAATTATTCTTATTAACAAGTATACACGCGCAACGCGCGTACCCTGAGACTAGTCTTCTAAAAAGTGCAAATTGAACATTTTTGACAAGTCTATACACTAAATAGTGTATAAGAATCTTTTGATAGAGTACATGCTATAATAGGTTAAAAAACACTAATCATAGTCTAACCATTTTTTATGTTCTTAATGTATACTAGTTTTAGGATACACGTTTCGTGCGCGTACCCAGAATAATGATTATATTTTTTTTAAAAAAAGTTCTATAAATATTAGTACTAAATAATATATATTTGATGTGCAATTATCGAGTGTTATTTCAAAAGTATTTTTAGAGTTTGATGTTGTGTTAAGATTATAATGATGATCGGTATTTAAAATTAATACATATTTATTTAAATGTGCATTCCCCAATTTGACTTTTCATACTATATATGCTATAACCGCTTTTGCTCTATTTGAAGAGTAAAGTAAACTGAGAAAATGAATCGTCTTTTATTCTTATTTGCCGTTGGTAAATTCTAGGAGAAAATATTTGTAGAGCCACTTATTTGGAATGAACCGTGACACCCATGTCTTCTGCATCTGTCTACCTATATCCAAACCTTATTTTCTGATTTATAAGTGCTTTAATAAAACAATAAGTTTGACAATAATAATAATAATGCTAAATTATATATTTCATATTTCAAAGTCCTAAATATTAAGAAGTTTATCATGAAAAAGCGAGCGATATTTTGCCAAGAGGTTTCGTGCTTTTAATTAATTAATAATGTATATAAGTCAATTTTTAAAAAAAAATTATGTATTGGGCTTTGTCATGAGACTTGTGTGGCCTTTGTTTGAGGGCATTTGCATCTATATCCGCTTTTTGGGTCACGTTTTAACTTGCGCCCACTTTACAAAAAAAAATGCAAGCGTACCCACTTTTTCGTGATACTTCAGCATACGGGGCTGAAATAGCAAAGACAATCACGCAAAACTTCAGCATTCTAGTAGTCGGGCCTGAAGTAGACCAAGTGTGCTAAACTTAAGCATTCTAGTGCTGAAGTTTTGTTCTCTATTTGCTGAACTTAAGCATTCTACTGCTGAAGTTTTGTTCTCTATTTGATGAACTTGTTTTTGTTTGTAATTGCTGAACTTAAGTATTCTAGTGCTGAAGTTTTGTTCTCTATTTGCTGAACTTAAGCATTTAGTACTGAAGTTTTTTTGTCATGGATAAGCTTTTTCAAAAACTTCAGCAGAAGATGATGAAGTTACTTAGTTCATTTGTAAAAATTTCAGCACTATATAAGCTGAAGTTGAATACATAAGACCACGTTTACTTTATCAATTCTCAACAACTTTTTACATCTCTAACCAAAACATAAAAGGAAGAACAAGTATATTTCCATTATTGTCGTTTATTTTCCCTATTTCAATTTCAATTGAGTTCATTACAAAATATTATCTTCAATGCCTGCTAGATTAATCAGTAATTAATCACCTTTTTTCTATTGTTCTGGGCTTGTGGAAGTTGCGAACTTGGGGTTTCATGGTTTTCTTTTTTTGTCTGTTGTCACCTTTGTCTTGTCGCTTGGATTCTTTATACCTTTCATAAAATGTGAAATTTCCCCAGGGTGATAATATTGGTCCCTTGATTTCTGTACCTAATTAGTATTAAGATTAGCCATAGAAGAAGAAGAAGAAGAAGAAGAAGAAGAAGAAGAAGAAGAAGAAGAAGAAGAAGAAGAAGAAGAAGAAGAAGAAGAAGAAGAAGACGAAGGAGGAGGAGGAGGAGGAGGAGGAGAAAGGGGCTGAAGTTGTTTAAAAATTAGGTACAAATTAAAACTTTTTTAAAAAATGGGTATAGGTTAAATGGGGACGCCCCGTGCAATTTTTACCTTTGTTTGGGCTTGTGGACTGCTCAAGCTTTATGCTCCTTTCTCATGGGTTTTCTAGTGAGTGAGCCAGAGAGTTGAGGGGAGAAATTCAAAAATAGCCAGATTTACAAGTGGTCATTTAAAAATAGCCACAGCTTCAAAGTAATCAAAATTTAGCCACTTTTCATGTAAAGATAAATCTGAACGAAAACAATGCTCAAAATTCATAAAAATACTCCAGCATAATATACTGAAACTCCAGTCTAATATACTGGAGTTCCAGCATAATATATTGGAGTTTGGAGCATCGATGCTTCAGTCTTCAGTATATTATATTGAAGCCAGCAAAGTATACCGGTCCACCATAATATGCTGGAAGTTCATACACAGGTGCACCGAACTCCAGTATATTATGCTGGACCGGTCTCTGTTGCAGCAAAATAATGGCTATTTTTCATTAACTTGGCAAACACTGGCTATTTTTGAATGACCAGTCCGAAAACTGGCTAGACCGTGCTATTATAACAAAGTTGATATGCGGGGGAAGTGCACGGTTAGCCCCTAATAACATATGTATTTACTTTAAGCCACTATTTAAAATGTCTTTAGTCTTTAGCCACTGTTTTAATAAACTTTAACTGCCCGAAAAAAAATATCATTTTGCTCATGTCCTTAACTTTTGAACTTAACTTCAGGACTTCAGCACTATATGACCTTAACTTTTGAACTTGGAACTCTAAGTTCAGGACTACATGTCCTTAACTTTTGAACTTAACTTCAGGACTACATGTCATTAACTTTTAAACTTGTAACTCTAAGTTCAGGACTTCAGGACCTATTGTTCTTAACTTTTGAGCTTGTTAATCTAAGTTCAGGGCCTATTGTCTTTAACTTTTGGGTTTCTTATCCTAAGTTCAGGACCTATTATCCTTAACTTTTGAGATTGTTAGTCTAAGTTCAGGACCTATTATCCTTAACTTTTGAGCTTTTTAGTCTAAGTTCAGGACCTATTGTCCTTAACTTTTGGGCTTCTTAGCCTAAGTTCAGGACCTATTGTCCTTAACTTTTGAACTTGTAACTGTAAGTTCAGGACCTATTGTCCTTAACTTTTGAACGTGTAACTGTAAGTTCAAGACCTATTGTCCTTAACTTTTGAAATCTTAGTTTCCATGCCAATAATTCCAAGATCTTTGGTTAACACGTAGAGACTTAGATATCTGTAATTAGAGTAAAAAAAGTGAAAACTCAAATTGGTGAATTCTCGTTCAAATGGTCTAACACATTTTATTGTGACCTTGCACATTTGCCTTTTTCTTTAAATGTCAATAAAAATGACATTCTGATAGAAAGCAAAGCATAATGCAAAAAAGGGTAAAAATGTCTCGTGGAAAGAAAACGAAATTGAAACTAGGATATCTCCCGGAAAGAAAACGAAAAACGAGTGGGTATCGAACTTGAGAGAGAAGTGAGGGTTTGGGAAGAAAAGCAATGGAAGAAAGGGTAAAAATATCTTTTCATATTAATAAAGTAATGATTATATTTGCTCAACATTAGAATTGTCAGATAAAAAATAAATACCACCTTAAATAGTGGCTACCTCGCGCCATTTCTACTTGATATGTATGGTGGAGGCCGAGGATAAAGCTAACGAAGGGTTTTGTTTTCCTTCACATTATACAGATATTCAAAAAAATAGGACGCTGTACTTTTTTTAAGTGAGCTTTAATTTTTATGAAATTTCTCTTTTGTTTTACTGGAAAGAGAACAAAAAAATACTCTGAGATAAGTCAATGAGGTGAATGTAAATGTTGTTGATTTTCCAAATCATTTCGTTGGCAGGCGTTTTGGAACTTAATTAACATGTTGCCGTCTTAACTAAGAGTTGATCTTTAACATTTCCAATGATATGTACAAGTGTACATCATTGGTTTTAATTTTTAAATAAAGTTGTTTGCTTTCTCTTAAGGTGAGAATAAGAAAAGGAAAGTAAGGAAGATACGGAGGGATGAGTCATGAGTATGCTGTTCAATCAAACACAGATTTCCAATAGAAAGAAAGCAAAGACTAATGCTTAGAAGGTTTAAATACTTGCTACAAGTTCTACCGCATGCATCAACTTCAATCACAAGTAATTAAATATAGTTACCATTAATCTTGCAAAGCTAAATAACATATCGGATTTAAATTCTAAAGCTTGTCGAAGTCAAATCATCTTATTACAAGCTAAATAAGTCGCCATGTAACAATTTGGCTGCAGGATATACCAATTAACAACCTCAAGAGCAAAAACTTGGACATATATATATATATCACCGAGTCATTCCTGCATGAAAAGGGGGCATTGTAACTCCCCTGCTTTGTCTTTCCATATTAGCTTGCCAGCCTAGGAGAAAAATCCAATACATTATCAATGTAGTGAAAAATTATAAAAAGGGCTAGTTTAGAAAGCAAAAGGGAAAATAAATTAAATGACTATATATTACCAATTCCCATATCAAAGCCACGGTTCCTAAGCTCTCTGTATTCTTGGCAAAGAGCACAAGGCTCACAGAAGACATGAACTAGACAATCAACGCAAGGTGCTTCCTCCAAATCATATTGTCCCCTCATTCTTGACCTATAGAAACACGAATATAGGCTAGGCAATCCTGTCAATCCCAGCAATACGCCATACAATGCACCACTAGCCGCACATGCTAACACCAAACCAATAAGTAATTAAAAGATCGTAAACATTCTGTAACAATAACAACTACTATACGTATTATGTTTCAATTTCAAGCAAACTAAGGTTAATTCTCATTTATCACTTCACTTCATTTGAAATCATCTCAGTTCAATATTATAATGACATATAAATATCTTTGACGAACTAAAGACATATAAAAAATGTCAGACCTAAAATAAACGTACTAGCATGACTAAAACTTAATTCAGACTAACATGACTAATTAAAACTCCACTTGCTCATATTGTTAATCCTAAGCCCAGATAAAGGAGGAAGACCGCAGTAGGGTGAAGATTAGCGTAAAATTAGTCATTTTGTCCTCACAAAACATTCAATACCAAAGTTAAAAAAATCAGAAAAGATGATGTGCTTACAGGTTGTTCCTTTGTTTACTATTTCAGAGATCTGTCCAAAGGTGATACAAGGGCAAACACAAGTAACTAAACAGTTAGCAGGGTCATCAAAACAGTGGCAAAGACCGGTGGACCACGGCGCTGTGGCGGTGGCCGAAGGGTGTACCGGCATACCGGCGGCAGACGCATAGGGAGGAGCATAAGGTTGTTTCATTGGGCCTGGATGATATCCCTCGCCGGTGAATTTGCCGTAGTCTTGATGTGCCGATGTATACATTTCTTCTTTTTAAGAGGAAGCTTTAAGCAAAAATGAATGAACTTCAATTCCTCTTTGGTAAATGGTACAATGTCCTAATTTAACGGTGTGCAGTGCAAACATCATCTCCAAGAATTATTAAAGTGTCAAATACGTACCTCTAACATCATTTCCAAGAAATCTTGTATATGACTTAGAAATTTTATTAGAGTGACTCGCACTATACGCGGTGGAAAACAAAACTTGCGCAATGTACCTCGTTTATACTCCCTCGTTTCACTTTTACTTGGTGCGTTTTGATTTTTCACACCTCATAAAAAATAACAAATGAACTGCATAATTTACCATGATATTCATATTAATTGATGCATATTTTATTGGATTTGAGAAAATGATTTGAAATGAGTAATAAATACTGTGGGTATAACAGGAAAAAAAAATTATCTTCTTTTAATATGCGTAAAGTGACAAGTAAAAATGAAAATCTATTTTAGTATACATACCAAGTAAAAGTAAACGGAGGAGCATAGCCTTATTTTGAGAAAGCACATTTTAATAGCTAGTTAATGAGTTTTCTGCGTTAATTTCTTGATCAACCTTGTTGAATTGTACACATTTTCAAATAACCCATTTTCACATCTTCAACAACATAACCCATTTTCAGCATTTTTGAAGGGCCAATCATTAAAATTTATTTCTGATTACATACAAATTCACCTTTTAAATTTTAAATAGAGAATCTCCCTCGACGTTAAAGTTAATGCCAAAGTTAGATAATCATTAATGAAATTCTCAAAAGGAGACAGAAAAAAGAAGATATACTTTGTTATAGAAAAAGACTTGATAGTCATATTAAGACATACTTCGTCATATTAATTGAGGGTCATACATTTTCAAAATTTCGGCAATGATATCTCAATATTGACTGTTAACTTTAAGGTCAAACAAGTTTTGTCCCATTCAAGAGGTGAATAAAATACTCCTATTAGTTTTCCAAAATCAAAGTTAAGAAAGTTAATTGACGGGATTTACTTGTAGATAAACGAAAATGGATCAGTAGTCGAGATGAAATTAACTTTCTGAAAAATTAGGACAAAAAAAGTGAGGGAAAGTACACTTTCTATGAAGTAGTGGATACAATGTTGTGACAACTCGAAATAAAATTAAAGAGTGTTAATTTGAGTAATAAAAAACACACTACATACAAAAGTGAATACAAGCTATCCATATAACAATAGTCTGGTTGTGTTATCAAGGTTCGTCTTCAAATTTATAACATTCTTTTGGTTGAAAATTGAGTATTTCAAAGCACAATCCAAGTACCGGAGTTCAATTATTCACTAAAATATTTTCGAAACGAAATTAAAAGCTTGTTCTTTCAGTACAGTAAAAGGTTCACTAGGATGCTTCTCAATTAAGTCTTTAAGCTGTGTCCACGTGAAATGAGAAACAGGTTTACGTTGGGTTTGAGCTAAATTATTTAATGTACTTTTTCTTGATCATATAAATAACAAATTATTCACGTATAAGCTTCAAAATTAGAAGCTCAAAGTATAAAAAGGTGTTCTAAAAGGGTGCATATATATATATATAATCTTTACATATCCATAAGGCAAAATAGACCGCCCCATCTGGGAATTGCCTCATAGCTTCCTTCAGCATAACCTTCCACTGCATGAAATTGTTTGGCAAGAGATACACACAACTTTTAAATATTCTTTATGTAACCCTCTTTTTTAAAAAAAAAATGAAAAAAAAACTTTGTCTATCATTACAAATTTCGGCGAGAGCATTAGAATGGGAAAATGAAAATTTTGATCCATTTTTATATCTAAATTGCTATGGAGTTTTTTTTTTGGGTTCAAAATGAAGAAAAATATTCCTAAAGGTATGCTTAAATTAATTACTCCACTCAATTAATGATGACATCCTGCATGCGGATGCCTAGCTGGTATCGCTTGATCATAAACGTTTATATGTATCGTGTAAGATGATATTGCTTTTGCTAATTCAATTAGAAGGTGAAATAAGCGGGGTTCTTTAGCTGTTCAGAAGACGAACCAATATACATCCATAATATATAATTACGTGAGGCTCTGAATAGATTTGTTCAAGTTCCGTGAATGAATGTATTGAGATTATATTCTACATTTATACATACTTGTATTATACTTGTGTATACACTGCTGAATCAGCACAGTATTAGTTAGGTTTCAATTGTATTCCAGCTGTCAGCTTAGTTAGTTTAGTTAGTTTATTTGTTGCTTATGTGTATAAAAAGGACAATACTCAGTAATAGATATTTTGAGTTTCATTTTCCAAATGAGAGACTCCTCACTGCTCATTTCTCTCTCTCTTCGAAATACATATTCTAGAATATTCTGAATCCTCCATTGAAGGAGGAATGGAGCTCACTCAGAGTTCATAATCTTGACATGGTATCATAGCGGGGGTCTTCTTCATCGATCACATCGTTGAATCCAATTTCTCTTCTTCTGTTTTCAAGCACAGAGTAATCTAGAGTTTTTTCTTTCACAAACAAACAATTTGGGGAAAAGTTCTAAATTGACACATCCACCAACAATTGCCAGTGGATAGAGGTTTATGAGCTTAATTTCGGCTAGCAGAGCAGTAATCCAACTGATTTAATACCCTCATGGCGGTTCTGGACCAAACCGACGAAGTGTCGACGACAACGACCACGCAAACGGTAATTGATACAACTAGTCCATTCTATATTCATCCATCTGACAGTCCGAGTTCTACTTTAGTACCTACTCCTTTTGATGGAGTTGGCTATCGCTCCTGGAGAAGAGGAGTGTTAAGGTCCTCTCAATGAAAAATAAGCTAGGTTTTATCAATGGAGAGTGTGTGAGACCTGATGTGACCTCTCTACAATTTCGTCAGTGGGAGAAGTGTGATGACATGGTTACTTTATAGATTCTGAACTCTTTAGCGAAGGACATTGCAGACAGTGTTGAGTATGTAAATAATTCTGTCAAATTGTGGAAGGGATTTGGAGGATCGACATGATCAGATGAATGGAGCTAAGTTGTATCAAACCTAGAAGGAAATTAACAATTTGAGTCACGGAATGCTTGACATCACATGTTATTATACAAAAATGAAGAAACTCTGGGAAAAGTTGAACACATTAAGTACTAAAACTCACTGTAGTTGTGTGTGCACTTGTGGAGCAAAGGAAAACATGCACAAGGCAGAGCATGATAGAAGACTCATACAATTTCTAGTGGGACTCAACGAGGTTTATACAGTTGTTCGAGGAAGCATTCTCATGATGAACCCATTTCCTTCTATGGCACATGCATTTGCTTTGCTGATATAGGAGGAGAAGCAGAGAGAATTCAAGCCTAGAAATCAATTGAATTTTGATTCTTCTGCGTTGAATGTCAATGTAGGGGGAAGAACTTTTGAGACAAATTACTCACCTAGTGAGAATCAAACTTCAAACAACAGGCCTAAGCCATTTTGTGACCACTGCAGACAACCAGGACATACCAAAGACAGATGCTCCAAGCTGCATGGATACCCTAACAGTTTTAGCCAGGGCACATAGCAGTACAAGCCGAATTCACAAGGGTATAACAATAGTAACAACAACATGAGGTCCAACAAGGGGAAGAGCACTATGGCAAATGCAGTTGCAAGTGTGCAGGGAATGTCATCAGACATGTTGTCAACTAAAGCAATTGAACCAGAACATCAGGGAGACAATCAGAACATGAGCCTTTCAAAAGAATAATATGGACAAATTCTCAGTTTACTGCTGCACTTTCAAATTGGAAGTGGAGGAGAAGGCACTTGAAAGTGTTTCTAGTGGAGCTTATGTGAATTTGTAGGTATGATTGCTTGCACTTCTTCCATCGATTTTGATAATCTATCATGCAAATGTTTCAATGCAAAAGCTGACATGTCGATATTAGATTCAGGAGCTTCACACCACATGACTTTCGATAAAACTCACCTACAAAATATTATAAATCTACTATATCCCTTGCTTGTTAAATTGCCAAATATTTACAAAGTTAAAGTAACCCAAATAGGAGATGTACACCTAACCCCCAAAATCATCTTACATAAAGTCATATTTATACCATCCTTCAAGTTTAATCTAGCCTCCATTGGTTCATTAGCAGTGCATCTCAAATGTGTTGCTTCTTTTTCTGATACTTTCTGTCTACTGCAGTCTCCTTCATTGAAGAGGCCTCTGGAGATTGGTAAAATGTATGATGGACTTTACTTTCTATGTTCTCAATGTCTCAAGAAAGATAATCTCATTTTTGTTTCTAAGTGTGCACTTCCTTGCTTGTCCAGTCATGCTATTGATATGAATGCAGTACACTGTCTATCACATTCCCACCACCCTACAGTAGATAATTTTATTTGCAATAATAAAGACAGTGCTTCTACTCTACTTTCTTCTACCTCTCTTAGAGATAGTGTAGATCTTCTGTGGCGTTATAGACGTGGTCATTTACCCTTCAATAAAATAAAAAGCATTCCTACTATACATGCATCTTTCTCTCCTAGACAACCATTTATTTGTTCCACTTGTCCTATGGCCAGACACTCTAGACTCAATTTCCCTCAGAAAACAACCAGTACTGCAAAAATCTTTGAACTCCTTCATATTAACCTGTGGGGACCCTATCATGTAGCAACACACAATAATTTCAAGTATTTCCTCACCTTAGTGGATGACTACAATAGGTCAACTTGGACACATCTTCTAAGCTATAAAAGCAATGCTCTTCAAATCATAAAAACTTTTGTAAACATGGTAGAGAACCAATTCAAAACCAATGTTCACTGTGTAAGGACAGATAATGGCCTAGAATTCACTAGCAATGAAGCTTCTTCTTTCTTTCAATCAAAAGGTATAAATCACGAGGAAACATGTCCTTATACACCCCAACAAAATGGGGTGATGGAAAAGAAACACAAATACCTTCTTGAAGTTTCCAGGGCACTTCTTTTTCAGTCCAAATTACCACCAAAATATTGGAGAGAATGTTTCCTTACAGCAACCTTTCTAGTCAATAGGCTACCAACATTTCCTCTAAAGAATAAATGTCCTTTTGAACTCTTGTATGACAATAAACAAACCTACTCCCATTTGAGAAGCTTTGGTTGT